TTGCACATCCTTTCTACTACAAAGCCCTAAAAAGACAATTCAGCACATACCGTGCAGTTCTCCACAGCCATCTCTCAGACCTAGAGCTTCCTGGATGTGAAAAATGGAAGTTAAACCAGACAGTGTTCATATGCAGATACATTCATGATTACTTGTTGATCCTTTCCCTTTTACCTGTCATCAAAACCCAGCAGTACGGCAATGGTTTAAATGTACATCATGTATGCCTGGTATGGTGTTGCATGCCTGTAATCTCCTCGCTCAGGAGGCACAGGCAGGAGGGTCACTGCGAGTTCAAAGTCAGCCTGAACTGCATAGCAAGACCTTGTTTCAAAAAGTCAGTGAATAAATAAATACAGCTATACTGCCTGTGCTGGAAACCCATTTCCTTGCAAATCAATCAGATGGCAATGATATGTCTTATGTTTATGTTCTTCTCTACAGATGGTGTAGCAGATACTTTAAATCTGTGCAGCCAGGTATTATGATATATTCTTATCTCAGTATTCTGGGAGGCTGAGGCAGAACGATAACAAATTCAACTTCAATCTGCCCAATTTAGTGAATTAGTGATACTGACTCAAAATTTAAAAAAAAAGAAAAAAAAGACTGCAGATGGAACCTCATTAGAACATGAATTTCCACTAGTTTGGGGGTAGAGCAGGAAAATGAATAAGATGATGATGACAATGATGCCACTTATGAATAAGAAGGAGAAAGAGGAGGAGAAGGAAGTGAGGAAAAGAGAAAAGAAGGAAAGAAAACTATGAGAATTTAGAGCACTTTTAATCTCTTATTGATGAAGAAATTGATGTAATCAAAAGTCAGGACAATAGTCCTCACAATTAGTTATTCCAGAGAATTCATGTCTTCTAGCATGATTGCTTTTGTTTTCAATTTTGTAAAAATATTGTCTTACCCCATAATACAGAAGCTTTGTTAATTGAGAAGTCTGTGTACTGAATATATCTCATTCTCTTCCCACTAATATCTAAAATCATGCAGCAGATAGAACTAAAGCAGAGCTATTCCTAGCTGTCAGTCTCACACTTGCCTGTCAAGCACAGGTCCTGCCAGATTCAGCAGGTTTCCCCGCATCCTAAATGTGCTGGGAAGGTGACTGTCCAGGGGTCAGGACTTTGGATGGAGCAGGTGAGTCCTTGCTATGGATGCAGGTGGAAAGGGCTCCATGAACCTTAACCCTGAGCAGCTTATGTCAGACTCACCCTTCTCTCCTTTTTGGGCTGCTGTTGATCAAGTTTTAGTCTGTATTTTACACCTAACTGCCGAGATGTTCAAGAAAACTTTCGTGGCTGACTAGATGAGTCCCTCTTCCCCACTAACATCCACATGATCTATTCACAGCAGATCAGAAGGGCACAATGCATGGTGAAAATATCCCACCATCTCAGACCCATGACTTCCATAAATTTGTTTCTTAATTGCACTTCTCTTTGTAATTACTAAGGGTATGTTATATTGGGTTTGTTTGTTTCCCATTTCTTTGAATGTCACTGAGATCTGCTGATTTCTAGTTAAAACGTCAGTAGTCTTTAAGAGGCAAAGTGCACTTTTAAGTCTTGTTGTTCTATTTTACAAACCAGTTATACATCACATGGTACCATGCATGTCACCCTATGATCTGTGGACAAATAAGAAAGGTGAAACTGAAAGTAAATGAATTAAGCAAACTTAATAATACAAGGATCAGTTTGCAATTCTCATAATCATGGTATAAATTTATTTTGCGTATGGTGACAGGCAGTTCTTACAATGATTTCATTTATAGAATGACAACATTTTAAAAGCACATAAAATATAATGGGGCATTGAAAATGATGGTGTGTCACCTCTGTAATCATGTTATCATTTACTGTTTTCCCATTGTCTATGCATATTAGTTTTAAAATGCTAATAGGAAAGTAACTGAAATGACGCATGTTTGCATTAAATATCACGGTATCAATTTTGTTTTATAACAAGCTTTAATAAATAAAAAATATGAAAGAATTTAAAGATGTACAAGAAAAATCAAGAAAACACCAGGAAACATTACCATGAGACCCAGCACCCCTGAGCTCTGCACTGGATGCAGCTCTCTCAAAATGAAGTAACATGGTACCCTGGCTATGCTGGGTCAATACCATATCTGTATCTGCTCCCCAAGTACTGATCCTTGGTGTCTCAGGAATAAGTTACGGATACCACGATATGATTTATTGTCTGGTGCATCTTACAAGGAGGGTGTTTTTGACAGCAGTATATACCTTTGTAGAATATTTTCTTTACATTACCTAACAGAAGGCCAGTATTTATTTAGCAGGACTAAATGACTAATCAAGTAACAATTATTACTTCTAGTTCACCTGTCCCTATATGGCCATTTTCATTTAATTGCACAAAGTACAAACTAAAACAGACAAACATGGACACAGAAGCACAAACAATTCTCATAAAAATATTTTTGAAGACAGCAGCAAAGTGAGCACTTACAGCACAGATTAGAAATTACCAGGCTCTGCTATCTGTCATGTAAGTCTGATGTCACATGAAACAGAAGGGAGGTTAAGGGCAATGAGTATAGACAACTGTGTGCTTGGAAAAAGTTGAGCAAGGCTGCTGTGGAGTCCTGAGCTAAAGCTGTGCTCCTCTTGATGCTCTTTTCACTTTCTCTCACAAAGTTTCCCACAATCAATTACACGTACATTTGATCCTGTGTCAGCATCAGCTTTTTGGAGGATATGAATCTGAGCAAACCTAGAGGTCCAAGGCAGAAGCAGGGGTATCAGGGAGACAGGGAAAATACTACAACCCAGGGGACAGGTAACAGCAATGTGGAGCAGTGTGGGGACAATAGAGGTGGAGACAAATCATATTTTGACTTTTTTTTTTGTCTTTTTCCTTTTTATCGGTACCAGGGATTGAACTCATGACTGCCTGCTTGCAAGGCAGGCGCTTATGCCGCTCAGCTAAATCCCCAGCCCCATATTTTGCCTTTCTGTCAAAGGTAGAATGTCAAGAAACAAGATACAGACCCACACAAAGAAAGAATCCAGGCACTTGGCAGCTCAGTGCAAAAGCCCCATGTTCAATCCTCAACATCATGATAAAGAAAGAGAAAGGTTACTAGACTGGCTGCTAGGATATGTTCTAAAAGAGGACGTGACCATCCAAGATGCCTCCATGGTTTTAGGGCTAAGAACTGGAAAGGTAGAGTTTCCCTCACCTGAGATGCTAAAGCCTGTGAGGAGCACATGTTCTAGGAGTGACACTAAAGGCTTAATTTGGGATCTAGAAGGCTGGAGATAATATTAGATAAGTAAAAGGAAATGTCACAGAGATTACTGATTTCATGAGCTTGGATTTCATAATAGGCTATTGGCTGAAAACACAGCTTTCAGAATTGCTGTGTAGCTGGCATTTGATGCCACAGAACTGAAGGTGATCACTAAGGACTGAGAGATCATGATAAGACCTGAGTCTTAGCACATTCTAGATAACTCATCAAGTGACAAAGGTCAGACAAATGCCGACTTGTCCTAAGTGCCTGATGACGTTCACATTTTAACAGAGTGTGGCCCCTTTTGAGAGTAAATACTTTTTGCCTCAAAGTCTGTTTTGTGGTACTATTTTAATTTTTGCAATAGGGTCTTGATCAGGCTCTTGAACCTACTATGGATCCCAGGCTGCCCTCAAACTCAGGGCGATCCTCCTGCCTCAGTCTCTGGAATACTGGGATTACATGTGTACACCACCATGCCTGGCACTTATGTGATTTCAAAGGAGCTGTGTCATGAGATTTTCCTTAGTAGATGCCCTCACATCTTTCTATCTGCTTTTCCAGAAGAAATTTGAAGGCAGGAATTGGCTGCTGCCAAAAACAAAAGGTAAACCGACCAGGGTCTCAGTTCCTGGACCCAGAGCAAGCCCCCAGCTAGCAACTTCTTGGCAGAGTCTGTACCCCCCTGGGAGAAATGTGGAGGGACCCTCAGCACTCCGGTGCCCCCTTCAAGCCCTGTTACAGATCCTCTCCTCACAGCCCAAATGCGTCCACCTCCGGGGGGACACTCCTTTAGGCCTCACCTGGGGCTTGGCTCTTGCCTCCTACCCGTCCTCACATACTTTGCCTCCCTGAGCCCTACATTGGGGGACCTCTTTCCTTTCCGCTGTCTGAACACAGAGGAGGGTGGGGAGCAGAGGATTCTGCGGACAGAGAGGGAGGAGTAGAGTGCACTTAAGACCCTTTCCATTGGACGCCCTCATCACTAACCCTCACCTGGCCCTTAATCTTCCCACTTGGACCCCTCAAGCAGCTTTAGCCCAATTCTGATTTCTTGGTGAAGACATAGATTTCTACAGGTTTTGGCCAGTGGGCTCCTTAAGACAATCACAACATAACCTTCCTCAGGGACCTCAAAAGGTTAACAGTCTCTCTGGGTGACCAGAGTAGATGAGATTTGTGTGTTTTTTTCCACAGGTGCTGACTCTACAGAGAGACTCAGAATGTTTTCTAATTGTCCCCTTTACCTTTGACTCTCCTGTGTGTGACCAATGATTAGACACACAGGCTTCAAAAGTACAGAAAGCTATTACTGAGCTGCACCCCAGCTTGTAACTGTCTCTTTTCCCCCAAGATATCTAGGGATTAAGTCCAGGGAGCACAGGGTTCCATGCTCAGCCCTTTTTATTTTTTATTATGTCTATTTGAGGAAGTGTTTGACTACTTTTATCCCCTCAGGTTTCCCTCTTTCTTATCCTGCTATTGCAATACCACCCGTATTTGGGGTTGCAGGTCTACACCACAGTGACAAGTTTCTCTTTTCTTTCATCCTGTTGTTCAGCCATGTTAACTTGTGTGTTTACTGACTGACTGACCATCACAGTGTGTTGTAGGGCTGTTGGCAGCATTAAGCAGATGGTGTGTATAAGAGTGTTCTATAGGAGGAAGTGAACAAAGTGGCTTATTTTTTTCATGAGTATCATTGCTCTTCTTTCCACAGTTAAGAGAATTTGAAAAATACAAGAAGTGTGATTGCCTTCCAGTGGATAAAAGAGTAAGTTTTTAAAAAGCATAAAGCCTATGACACGCAGTGGTGGATAATGTCACCCACATGAAGCTGTGTCATGGCTGGCCAGGCAGCTAAGGTGGGGCTGCAATGGCAGTAGGGGGTCAGAGTGCAGATGAGAACAATGTCAGGTGCTAAGAATTCTGCATTTAGGGCTGGGCCTGTTATCGCTCAGTGGGAGAGTTTCAAAGAGAGCACTGCAGCTTGGGGCCAAAGAAGGGAAAGGGGGACAGATACTAGGGTACTAGAAGGGTCTGAGGTCACTAGTCCCTCCCTCCATCTACCGTCCCCTGTGCCTTGTGCAGGTGCATGAGGTAAAGGAGGAGCGGGACAGGAGGGCTGATAAGCCTCCTGTCCAGCTGAGTGAACTGGAGAAACATGTGGGTGAGTGGGGACAAGGGTGATCTGGAGAGAGCGGGGTACCCAGGCTGTGGGTGGGGCTAACACTGTCCTAGGAGATAGGGTGGACTCAAGGGCACAGTGGTAAAGCGTAGGGCATGTGTGCCAGGAGCTGGCAATTTAATCCTATCTCTGAGCTTCAGTATCCCCATTTGCAGAGAGAATATTTTACCCCCTGCCAACCAATACCCAGGATCCATACAGGAACATGGCTTCAGGCCTGGACATGATGTGGGAGGGTATAACAAATCAGTCATGAGGAAGCCAAGGCCCAATCAAGGAGCCTGGAGTGGGGGCTGAGCACTGAGGAGCTTGTTCAGGGCCCAGAGACCCTGGACCCTTTCCTCTACCTCCTTGTCACCTGTGCCCCAACCCCGCAGCCCCAAGCAGGGCCATGTCTGAAACATCAGCAGCTCCTGTGGGAGGTGCAGAAGGTGAAGAAGGAGCTGGAGGGCGCCTTGGGGCAGCTAAAGGAAGAAAACCTGGCTCTGCAGAACAAAATGAGGCAGCAGGAGGATCACCTTCTGCAGACTGACACCAGGGCAGAGCTGTGGTCAGCCCAGGCGGAAGAGCACAAGAACATCGTGCACAACATGGAGGAGCAGCAGAAGATGATTGATGCCTTAGGGCTTCAGAACTGCCTGATAAAGGAGCAGCTGGCCCAGATGCAGGACAGCTTCCAGAGGCTGGTGCGTGTCCACTGCTTGCCGGGCTCCTCACCAACAAGTCTTTCCAAGCAGCACAGCACACTAACCCCTCTGCTCCATCCTCCCTGCAGCACATTGGGCCATGGTCCCCTCAATCGTGAAAGTGTCCTGTGAGTCAGAACCCTGTGGGGCTTTTCCTGCAGACAGGGGATGATTCTCCAGCCTGCTTTGCACTGTAGACACCCAAATGGGGTCCTGGGTCTGCCTATGCTGGTGGCACTTATTACCATTCTCTGTAGAGAGAAGAAAACACCAATATAGTGACCACCCTGAGCTCAGAGCAGCTCAGACACAATGAGCTGACTTGGAAACTCGGCCAGCTGCAGGAGGAGATCTCCCAGCTCAAGGCAGTGGTAGGTGACTCCTGCCCCATGGGACTGGGCTAAGAGAGGTGCTCCCCATGGCGGTGGGAGGTGCTGGGGCCAGAACTGATCTCCCACAGCTGGACCACAAGTGACCTCAGAGTCCTACAGTGTCTGGAAGAGCAGTTGTGTGTCTTTTGCTTTTTGTCTCGGACTGTTAGAGGTATATGGCTCTGAGGTCCTCCCACGTCCTGATGTCATTTCCCTGCCAGAAACCTGAGTCATCCTACTACTAGGAGGAAACAGGGTAGGAGGGGAAGCTCTTTGGTTCCACACTGGGTCTCAGTCACACTGGTTACAGTTTCAAACTTGCCATCCTGGCCTCAGTTTCCATCACTTCCAATGGATGTTAGCATTTTCCTCATAGAGTTGTTGGATTCAATGAGACAGTATGTGCAAACTGGAGCTTAGAGATCACTTAACACATGTGGCATGGCTCCATCTGATTCTCCTCAGCTGTGGTGAGGTCCACGTTCAAGAACAGAGGTTGTAGGACTGGAGGCTGGGAACAGGAAGCCAGTGGTTCAGAGGAGCCCCTACTGAGCTCAGGCTGCTGAAGCCCCAGGGTATGCCTGACCTCACTTCTCGGTCTCCTGCAGGTGGCGCTGAAGAGCCAGGAGGCCCAGGTGCTGCAGCAGCAGAGAGACCAGCTGCTGGGCATCCTATGCCAGAGAGCTGAGGCCTGTTTACACCTGGCCTCTGAAAAACACGCTCTGCAACATCAGCTTCTGCAGTCATTTAAACAAGTGATGAAGGTACATCTGAAAGACCTGGAAGACCACAAGGCCCTGGTTAGCTTTTACGAAGACCTGAAGACCACCCAGGTGATGGAGGTGCTGAGGCCGGGCCCCTGTCCAGGAGGATCTGGCTGCCTCTGATGTCTCACTTTCCATCCTTACCTACAGGAGGTCCTGTCAGCTTCCAAGCAGCAGACATCCTCGCCTGAAGTTGTGGCACTGCCCGGGGAAGGTGAATGGAGGTGTCAGTGCTGCATGGGCTGAGGAGCACTCTGAGAATGAGTAGACGGGGACGAGACGGCAGAGGGCTGCTCATTCTCTCCCCGAGGGTGGTGGCCCAGGGGGACCTGGTGAGGTGGGTGGAGGGGAGCCTGGGACTGCTCTGCCTCCCTCTCTGCTGACTGCTCCCAATATGAAATGAAGGGGAGGTGGAGAAAAGAAAAATTGAGAGTCCTCAGCCCAACAGCACCAGTCCTGAAGAAGTGAGAGGCTCAAAGGCTGCGGTGAGCTGGGCTCTGCTTTGAACCTTCCCTGGGTCTCCTTCCCTGTCTCTTCCACTGAGGTCCCTTTGGACACCCCAATACTTTGGGTTCTCCACGCCCTCATTTCCCTGGACCTTCCCTGAAAGCAGTGGACATGCCCCATCCCTAGGAGCAACAGGTGTCAGTGGCAGGAGGCTCCATGCATCCTGTGATGTGGAGAGCTCCCCCCACAGAATCACACCCTGCCCCCACAGATGGCATTTGTCAACAAAAGTCACACCTCTGTGCAGAAACAGTGGGCTCAGCCACCCAGCCACCTGAAGGTTCAGAGAAAGCCATGCCAGAGTTTTGCCTATGTGGCACTCCTGACCCAGGGCCAAGCTAAGGAGGTGGCTTACACACCTAGGAGCAGTGGTGACCATGTGGCCATGGTGCAGTTGCAGGGGAGGCTGGGAAGGGGGGCAGGGCAGGTGGCCACAGAGCCCTGACTCTGGTACTCTGCTTCCTTTTTCGTACAGGTGTCACAGAAGAAGGCAGTGATTAAGGAGCAAGTGGAGGACCTTGGATGTCAACTCATGCTGCTCTCTGGTGATTCAAGCACCACTGATGAGCTGGGCCAGGGCTCCTGCAGCAGAGGCTGTAAGGTTTGGGGGTTAGGGAGGCGCCTCTGACTATTGTTCTCCTTTGCATAACAGAGCACATGAGGAATTGTGAGGAGGAAGATGAACAAGTGGAGGAGGAGCAGCAGGAGGAAGAAAAGGAGGAGGAGGAGCAGGAGGAGGAGGATGAAAGAGTGGAAGAGGAGGACAAACGAGGAGAGGAGGAGGAGCAGAAGACGCAGGAGAAGGAGAAGGATGAGGATGAACAAGTGGAGGAGGTGGAGAAACGAATGGAGAATGATGAGAAGGAGCAGGAAAAGCAGGATGATTAAGGCCAGTGTTGAGGTTATGATTAGGATAGTGTTTAGGATTTGAGTGAGGTCTAGGGTAAAGATTATGAATAAGGTTAGTTCTAGCCTTGGGATTAGGGCTAGGATTTGTTTCTGGATTTAGGTTTAGGGCTGTCTCAGTTTAACATTAGGATCAGGGGTAGGACTAGGGCTAGACCCAGGGCTAAGGTTATTTTTATGATTATTGTTTTAGTTAGGATTAGATCTAAAGCTGTGCTTATGCTTCATTTAAGTTTAGGTTCAGTGTTACATTTACAGTTATAGATAGTTTTAGATACTGGGTTAGGAATAGAGTTACAGTTGGAATTAGAGGTACAGCTAGTGCTACGGTGAGGTTTAGGGTTAGGCTTTGTATAAAATTTGGAGTCATGGGTATTTGCTAAGTTTTGGTTAGGATGTGTTTTGGCCTAGAGTTATGTCTAATGGTATAAGCAGGCTTAGGGTTGGGCTGAAATTACAGATGTATGCTTGTGTTAGGCTTATGTCTAAGTTAGGTGCATGGCTAAGGCTAGGATAAGGTTAGGGTTATTGTGCACTATATATTTGAGTAGGTTTAGGGTTAGGGCTGGTGGTAGGTTAGTTCTAGCACTAGGGTTAGATTTAGTGTTAGAGGCAATGTTAGACTCAGGACTAAAGTTCAGTTTAAGCTAGGGTTTGTGTTTCTGTTTGAGTCAGGTTTAGGTCATGTGTTGTATATTGTTATGGATTAAGAACTGGTGGTCAACTTAATTCCAGCTGGATTACATCAGCATGGCACTGAGTGAAAATGATCCACCTGAGCAAAGTCACCAGGATAAACTGGTGGAGAAGAATGGAGGTGTTGAGACTTTGGGGTGTTAATGCATTGTTGCATTGAGGCATTGTGAGTTGTCCTATGAGTTGCTGTTTGAGCTGTTAGATTCTCCTGGAGAAGCTTTGTTCCACACATCGAGCACTGCTTCCTGGCTCCAAAGAGGAAGACATGTGCTGCTTGGTCTCCAGGATGAGCTGGTTATGCTGGCTTCCTGGCATGTGCCTGACTATGCTTGTCTTTGGAAGAGCTCGGGGCCTCCATGTCACTGAGTATGGCTGTGGTGTCTTTCAGTACAGCCCTGGTCTTTGTTGTGAGTGTGACTTCACGGCTCCAGTGTAGAACCCTCATCCCACCAGCATACCTCCTTCATCCTGCTGGCATAGACTTTTTGGCTTCCACCACTGACATTTGGGCCTTCCCAGCATGGATCCGTAAAAGAGACTCATGGGAGTCCTTCTTGTGGGCTCTGGACCTCTAGTTGGACTCATGGGAGGCATTGTGATGAGCTTTGGGTTTTTATCTGGACTCATGTGGGTCATTGCTGTGGGATTTAGGCTCTTGACTAAATCTATGTCTTTGGTGTTGCGGATAGATTTCCTGCATTTTCTTGTGTTAACTCCCAGTGACCATTATAAAAATAATATTACAAACTCCCATGTCCTGATTCTACTTGTTCTCCGCACAACCCCTGACTACAACATGTATCTGAAACAAAACGGGCTCTCTCAAATTGAATACAAGTGGATCAGAAGTTTCAGTTGGTACCTCAGCACAGTCATCTCCATTACTACCAACCTTTAACTCCATGAGCAGAAAGCTTTAAATAACTGTTAGCCACAGCAATTTAGAGCTTCTAAACATGTTATTGGTTAAACAGAAACATAAAACACGAAGATATCATTCAAGGCCAATATTCACTCTTCGACCATTATAGAAGGTCTTTCATCTATTCAGAGTGGGACACAGTTATGGGGATCTGCAGTGATTGACCATGCACATTGTCCCAACTAGAACCATCAACTTTCCAATACTGACAATTTAGTTGTGAATATAATTGGGCACAATGTGCAGCAATAATTATTCTTCCTGTAGTGACTCAGACCCCAAAACTTCAAGTATTTTACTCTATCTTGAACTCTTTTGAAAGTGACAATTTATACAATAGCATGCTGAGCTAAGTGCACACTTTGGCAGCACAGATACAGTAACACACTGAGACTACAATTTGATAAGGCTGAATGATACAAAAAATAGTAAAATACACATTGAAAACACTCTTGAAACTGGATTTTCAGGCTAAAAGTTGTACATTCTGCCAGGATATCCAGCGATGTCAAGTTGGAAGAAGGGGATGCTGAGTGCTACACATAGCACAGCATTTCAGAGAAAGTTGTTCTAACATTAGACAATCATGTAACCTCACTGTTGGTTCCTACAAAAGGCTGGAGGCATGCAGGGACTGCAATTGCCTGCTATTTTTGATGAGGTGTAAACATCCCCTGGGCAATGTTCTAATATTAAACCTAACATGGCGCAAGAGCACCGAGCACAATGGCACCTATAAAGATGGTGTTCCATATCTGTGAGCTTCCTTCTCACTTGGCCTCACCACATCAACAGGAGAAACAGCCATGAATCAGGTGTGGAATTGCCTGTTAGATAAGAGACTGTGCTGTTTCTCACCTCCGACCTCCACGTGAAGCAGCATGTGTTGCCAGTTGGTTTTGCCTGAGCCAGTGCTCCACACACTTCCTTTCACAACAGTGTCCCTATAAAGAGAAGATGACCAGCCCTAAAATGAAGGCCATGGTGGAACACCTTGAGAGGGGGCAGAGCCCTGAACAAAGCAGGAGTCTGAAAACAGTGTGCAGCACACACGTGAGGGCCAACATCAAACTAGTGATATTGAAGCCTACACAGAATTGCATGAAAATCAGTTTTAAAAAATCCATGAGCTGTCAGACATATTGCTAATAATCACGTGAAACTCTCCATTCTTGGCAAAACATTTCTTTGCACTTATCAGTTCAATTTTCTCCTAATGTGCCTCTTTCCATAGTCATTTCACCTTTAGTCTCATGCAAAAATGTTGTGACCTGTATCTAGGTGTCTCTCAGTGATTCCTGCAGACCTAGATGGGGACTTTGGAAGGTGGCTGGATCTAGACTGTGTGTTTTTGATATATTGCATTCGTTAAGGAGGTGCAAGTGGGTATCAAGTTGATATGGGTTGAAAGTATTCACAAAATTGAAATGACCATTTTATGTATCTCCAGGCCGGGGCTAATGAGTGCAGAGATAGCTGATGAACATCATTTCTGGGTGCATCTGTGAGGCCTTGTATCCAGAAGATTAGCGTTTAAAAGTGTATCCACACAATATAGTCCATTTTTTTTTACTTTAAAGGGAAAAAAATGAAAATAAAAATAATGAAACACCAGCTGATAGGAGAGCAATCATTCACAAGAAAAGAGCAACTGTGGTGAAGACAGCCCTTTTTAAAGAGAGTGGCCATGAATTCAGTCCTTCACACTGAATGGAACAAAAGGCAAACAGAGAAGGTGTGCTTTGGGCTTGAACTTGCCTACCTTCTCCTCCATCACACATCAGCCTTCAGATTCCCTGGCTTTTATTCTTGGACCAGGGCCTCCAACTTCTCAAGAGTCTGGATTTGGACTGGAACCACATGTAGTCTTTCCTGGGCTTCTAGCCTGAAAGCAGAAGTCATGGGATTTATTAGCCTCCATAATTGTTGGAAAATTTGCCTGATATAAATCTCTTTCCCATCCTTGATCATTCACATCCACACACATCCCATCACACATCTTGAGGACTCAAAATAATCTGTCTCACTTTCAGTTGTACACAGCATTATTTGTTACATACTGAAATACTCTATTTTACATTATTCATACAATGTTCAGAATGTTCTTAAGTTTTCAGCAGGATTTATGAAAATCAGGCATAAATTTTGCAGTATGAGTTGAAAAATAATACCAATCAGTAATCAAAACACAATAATTTATGAAGAAAAATTTTTTAAATATTCAGGAAACTTTATTTTTATACCATTAATCAAATAGACATAGCTCTTATTTACCCAAACATGCATAATTCAACCTGAATACAAAATGTACTCAGCTGGTAAATTACATACGAAATACAAAGGGAATGAAATTTTACACACATGAAATAATTGCCGGTTATAGCAATTTAACGGTCAAATTAATCAAAATATTGTACAGCTAAACAGAAAAAAAACTTAAAGCCAATTATCTATGAACCAAGGGAAATTGTGATATGTAATGATTTGATTCAAAGCAAAGAATAAGAGCTGAGGGAATGGTGGTGTACACCTATAATCCTAGCACTCAGGAGGCTGAGGCAAGAGGATCATTGCAAGTTCAAGACCAGCCTGGGCTACAAAGTAACTCAAGGCCAGCCTGAACTGCGTAGTGAGGCCCTAACTCCAAAAAAAAAAAAAAAAAAAAAAAGCAAAGAATAAGGCATCTGCTGTAACTTTAGAGCAGTAACTTTGTTTTAGTTATAATAAAATAGAATTAACCAAGATCTGTTTCAAAGAGAGAAGGAATTTATTGGGTGAGAAAGACAGGTAACAATTTGGTCAAGAAAAACCTACTGGCCCAAAGTCAACTGATTCCTTTCCTATTTGAGCAGTTAAGTTCTTTACACATTGTCCTTATCAACTTTTACTTTCTTCTGTATTCGAGAGTAATAAAGGGGCACAGATCAGTGATAAGGCCTTGCTATCAACTCTTTGAATTAAAAAAAAATCAGATATCTCCTGTGTAATCATTGTGAAAATTCAGGGACAGATGTAGGTCTCAGATATCAACTCTAATACTGTAAACTCAGAGTGCTTTACAGTGAATTTTTCTTGTAAATCATGTCTGGTGAGTTGCTTAAGGCATTATGATAAATGTAGAGTTTTCCCTTTGCACCAGATTGCTCATATTGGTGGCAACATTCTTGTGGTTTGGGGGTCATGATTAAGGCAGTGAAAAGCACTCTGACCCAGGATTCCAGGAATCATCAGGAAACTAAAGAAAATCCTTCTACAGATGTAGTGAGATGGCATTGGTGGGGTTGTGAGGGAACCCAGTCTTCTGGATACTCAGGCACTGAGTGCACCAAGGACACAGCTCTGTGAGTCCACAGAGGAGATGAGAGAACATCGCCTGCCTGGAGTACCACTGCTGAGTGGTTCGTGACTCCAAGCGCAAATAATCCACTCAGGTAAAATAAAAGCCCATTTAAATGATGTTAAAATTCCAGTATATTCTGAAAGACTCACCTTTCCTGAGTGTCACACTACAAGATCCACATTAGAAATAAAGAGATTCAGTGAATCTCTCTTCTGTGCGGAGACCCTGTAGGGCTGAAAGAGGTGGTGCTGCCTAGGAGCCCGGAAGCAGGCAGAGAGGAAGCAAGTACTTAAATGGGAACCTTGCAAACAACTGCATCATGCCATGATTTCATTGTTGTGCTGGACTATGAGTTTTCTCTGTATTCTGGGCCTTCGGGTAATGAAATCATGACACCTCACACTGGAACCAGCTATATTCTGGAAGATACCTAGCAATATTCTTCCTCTACCCTCTTTGTAGGCCTCTTTCCATTTTTCTGTCATCTATCTCTCTCTATCAGGTCTCTCTTTGGCTCTCTCTCCATCCATCTTTCTTCGTCTTTCTCTTCATCTCCTCTGCCTTCTCTCTACCTTCCTGGTTTTTAGCCAAGAGGATCTCCTTTGTAAACTTCGTGTGATACCATGGGCAGGTGTGGAAGCTGACAGGAAACCTAGCCCCTAGCATTTGTTTGGGAGCCCAGAGAAGGTTGGCATTACACGGTCATGGAGTAACACTTGGAACTATCTGGAGACCTCCCTGTGTGAAGTATCCAATGGTCTGCACTGAGAAGGGATGAACCTAGAGGTGCTGAACATGGGGAAACAGCTTTCCTTCAGCCATTCAGACAAGCATAAATCTCCTGACACTAAGTGCCCCACATGCTTGTGACTGTCCCCTTTGCAGTGGATAGACTGGTGGATGATACACTACTGGTCCTGTGAGTTTTCTGGCTTTAACTGTACAGAAGGGCATCATTCGAAAAGAATCTGACACAATCATGTGACATCTAGGAAAATGCCCAAAACAACTTGAGATGTTTGCTGTCTAGCTGTCTCCAAAGATGATATATCTTGCCTTAAAGTCCCCAGCTGAAAGAGAGTGGTTTCCACCACATAATTTGGAGGATGGCCAGGAGGTTCATATGAGGCCATGGTCTGGCCAGCTGCATGTGCCAGTCCTTGTATGACTCTGAACAAAGAACTCGGCACAGCTGTGACCAGACATGTGACCCATGCAAAGTAGAGATTGCAAGCATTTGTGTTGTGTAAATTATGCAGAAACAGAAAACTACTAGACACAGATTCAAATGGAGACCCATACTCACTCTGCAGGGGTTACAGCAGGTTATTTTGCATCCACAGTTAGAGAGGACTACAACAATGAAGAATTCCAGCACACTTAAAGTGAGCACAGTTTCATCCAGACTCTAAAAAGGATTCAGTAGAATGGATTTAATGATCTGACTCAATGTCATCCAATAAACAGCAATAATCCTTCTGTATC